TTTAAATTATTTTTTAAAATTTATTTATTGATATAGTGATTTATATATTAATATAGTGACACACATCCTTGGCACATCTGAATTAAATTAATAAGATAATGATTATTTTTTTACATTATTTATTTATTTTTAATTATTCAATTTTTATACACATCCATAGTACACATGGATTAAATTAATACATTTATTATTTTAATTAATTAATCAATTGATTTAATTATTATTGGGTATTTTTGTTTGTTTATCTAATTATTTTAATGCACATATCTATAGCGCACCTGAATATTTACAGTAGTGGTCAAAAGTTTATCGACACTTTGCAGTGTCTGCATTCTGCATAGTGTGCTGTTACCTGGATGATCCGTGGATTAAGAATCAAGTGTATGTAAACTTTTGAATGGGTTCATTTTTATAAATTCAATTATTATTTTCTGTTGTGGACTATGTAAACGTATTTTATGTGAAATATCTTATTCAGGTCAGTACTAAATAAAAAAACAACATGCATTTTGTATGATCCCTCTTATGTTGGTAAAATAATTACAATTTTGCAGATACGGTAAAGTATATACTTTTGACTATAACTGTATGTTCCAAACTGGCATGGACCGTGAAAAGAAAAATATGTATTTTCACTTATCATTCAAAAACAAGAATATATGGGTCTTACCTTAGCTGCTGTGTTCAAAATATATGAGAAGGTCAAGATAAAAAGATAACCCTGAAACTTTTAAGATTCGATTCAGCATTCTCTTTATCACGTCATATTGAACGTCTGTTCAACAGTTGCGTCTATCACGTGCGCTTGAATTAAGGCGGGAAAGCACGTGCTTAAAAGAGAATTATGCTGTAACTGTCGGCTAAAACATCTGTTTATTTGTTTTAAATATTTAATATATTTTATTTGTTAAATATTTAATCGTGTTTTTTTTGTTTTTTTTTTTACAACGTTTGTGTTCGATCTTGCCACAAGATGGCGCTCAGTCTCACAGAACGAATGCAGTGTGATTAAATGGTTTGTAATTGTGATAAAATAAGTAATCTATTGATGCTATTATCTTTGTGTCACCTATATTCATTTAAGTTACTGGTAAAGCACACATTTTTAAGTTATGTCAAAGCATGCAGTGGCAACTCTATTAGGCAACTATGTACAGTTAGTGTGGGCAGAACTCAAGCCAAGTAAAGCAGAACCAGAGGTTATTGACACCTCTCAAATGTCAGACAGCTATGAAATGCCTGGGGCTGAAAGACTCCTGCGGGGTAATACTGATTCAAACCAGGCTAACGAGTCATTCTTACCCTTTACGTTTTTGCCCATTCATTTGGTGGAGTCTGGTGGTTTGGTGGCCGTATAAGTTGTGTGAGAGAGATAGAAAGATAGAGGACTTAGTCTTTTGTGATGGGGTAAACAGGATGTGGACAGGCTCTGATGGCTGTTTGTCATGCTGAGGAAGCATCACCTCAAGGGCACAGACAGTACGAACAAAGACTTGACAGACCAAACAAGCATTAAAAGAGTAGTTCAACCCCGAAGAAAATTCTGTCATCATTTACGCACCCTCATGTTCTTCCAAACCTGTATGACTTTCTTTGTTCTGTGAATCACAAAAGAACACACACACATATATATATATATATATATATATATATATATAACATTTTAAAGAATTCTGGTAACCAAACAGTTTTGGTGACCTTTGACTTCCATTGTGTGGACAAAAAACACTGATGATGACTGGTGTTTCACAGAAGGAAGAAAATCATACAGATTTTGAATGACATATGAGTAAATGATGACACAATTAATGTTTTGTATGAACTATCCATTTAAACTGTAGGGATGCCATAATCATTCCATGCAGACAATGATACATTTTATTTTTTCACTTGTCTCACTAGTCAAATTCAGGCCTTTAATCCTGTAACTATTTTTAGGCCTGTAACCATTAATGAAAATCAATTTCTAATGACTTTAATGATTAAATTGAACATATATGCGTGTTCATGTTTACTTCTGTGGACATAATTAATACTCTTTTTCACCTTCTATATAGTGGGGTAGTATGCATATTTGGAGGCAGCCTTTGTTAACATCATGGCTCATATTTGTCTCAATAGCAGATTTAGATTTAGATATACTGACACCTATTGGCCTGCATGCATGCAAGTTTATGTACCACTAACTCCTGTGGTTTTACACTAAAACTGTTTGTTTGTGTCATTTTTTGTGTAAAAATTGGATTAATTCCTAACAAATTTTCATTTATTATTGGTGTTTTGTGCTGGTACATGGCTGGTCATTTGATATTAACATGGTGGCGCCCATGAAGGGGCGATCCTCTCCATGTAAAAAAAATGGACTGCTTTTTTAGAAAATATTTATGTCTAGACTAGAGTCTTCATCTCATGTTAGTGAACATCATTTTAATGATAAATCCCAAAAATGCTATTCATTTTGATTTTTTCCTTAAAATATTAATTAAATAAATAAATAAAAATACTGAATGCATCAGTCGCGATGCCAGAGATCAAAAGAAACTATCTTCTCACAACACACATCTAAAGACAGCAAGGGATCATCAGTTCATTAAACTGAAGACGTGATTGTTCAAGCGGTGCAACTTGCAGACGGTCCCTCAGCGGCAGACTCGCTTCTCTCTCTACAGCTCCCACAACCGTCTCACTTTTCATGTAGTCCACACTGAGCTCTCGTGATCTCGCAACTTCAGTTTTTACTGCACGGTTTTGCCAGTGATTTCGCGATTGCTGATCGTTTCACGTGCACTCCCTTTTTTCACATCATTTCGCTCCTCTGGCCACTTTAATCATTTATGCTGCCGGCAGTCGGTGGGCTACTTCTCTAGTTTACCTTTTAAACGGAAATAGTTTTAATGAGATGCAAATTGCTTTGCGGTTGACTTCGATGTTGCGCGTTGCTACTTTTACAGCAGTTTCTTCAGTTTCAATATAACATTTTCCCCTGCCGCATCCTGGCGCGAGGTTGCGTGCAGCGAGCGACGGATTAAATGGATTAATTATCACATCTTCACATCAGTTTTCACACAACTGGCGTGTACT